CTCTTCTCCGGCGACTTCTCCGGCAAATATGTTAAGGTCACAAATCTATATAATTTGGTCACAATTCGAAATTTTTTAGGTCACAATTCAATATTTTCATAGGTCACAATTTGTTCATCGGTCACAACTTAAAAATTTAAATGTCACAATTTTTTCATCGATCACAAATCACAAATTTTGTAAGACAATACTTATTTGGGTCACAATTTATCAATTTATTGGTTACAATTAATAATTTTTAGGTCACAATTAATAATTAGTGGTCACAAACAAATCAAATTATTTGTGACCACCACCAAAATTGTTTGTGACCTCCACTAAATCACAAATCACATGCAGAACACATAACCACCGCCAAACACTACTCAAACACGAAACCATGGCCGCCAACTTCTATGACCACTCCAACAACAACAAAAACCACGATATCAACACCAAGGAACCAGACATCACCCATCCATACACAGAACACACACACCCAACCACACATCACCACCACTACCACTGTCCCACCACCATCTTCACTGTGCCCCCGCCTGATCCACAACTGAAACATAGCCCAAAAATCTCACACCAAATCACGATGCGCAGCCCACAACACAAAAATAACCCAAACACCAACACCGTCGCACGACGCACGCACAACTACAGCAGCACCGCACGACGCAAATTAGAGGGAAATGAATTTTAGGGTTGATTTGAGTAATTTTAATTGGAATGAAAATTATATAATTAATATTAAATTAAATATAAAAAATCTGATTTTTAAAAAGTTAAACTTGTAATGTGATTTTTGAAAATGAAAATCTAAAATCAGGGGTGGGTGTAATTTCTTCTGTAATCTTCCCTATCCAAAATCCGTGGAACTTAGCTGACGAGGAAGCCCATTACAATAATTTTGTGTGATTGAGGTATTTATCTTGTGTTGTCTAACCGATTCTAACACTTTGTGTGTCATTTGGTCAGCTAGGTTAAATAGTACCGTGCTGTATTTAAGATTAAAAAGAAGCTAAAATTTTATTTATTATTATTGTCTATGTAATACAATCATGCATATCAATGTCAGTAATATTAAGTCACGGTTTGATTCTCATTTTTTAAAAACTATTTTTTTCACCAAACTCATTTTACATTACAGTAATATTATTGTCTTTTTTTTAAAAAAACTTCTCACTTTTTTGAATTTGTAACTTTTTACAAATTTCTGTCACTTTTTCTAGTGTTTGTCATTTTTTTCTATCACTTTTTTGAGTAATAATATTTTTTAATAAAGTGACATTATATGTCATTTTTTTTAAAAAAGAAATGACACTTAACTTTTAAAAGTAATATTAGCAATTACACAAGATTTTTTACTTCAAAAAAACTTTTCATATGATTTTCAAAAGACCTCAAATTTTAAGGGTATTTTTTTAAGTTGCCCTTAGAATTAAGAATCGATCAGTTTGGTCTGATTCCTGTTCTAGAATTCTGAATCGGTAAATGCCAAATGAAATAGAATTNAGGAAGGAGAAGAAGCCCTCACCGGCGGCAGAGGGAAGAAGAACCTTCACAGAGAGAGGAAGGACTGTATCGTGCCGTATTTAAGATTAAAAAGAAGCTAAAATTTTATTTATTATTATTGTCTATGTAATACAATCATGCGTATCAATGTCAGTAATATTAAGTCACGGTTTGATTCTCATTTTTTAAAAACTATTTTTTCACCAAACTCATTTTACATTATAGTAATATTATTGTCTTTTTTAAAAAAAAACTTCTCACTTTTTTGAATTTGTAACTTTTTACAAATTTCTGTCACTTTTTCTAGCGTTTGTCATTTTTTCTATCACTTTTTTGAGTAATAATATTTTTTAATAAAGTGACATTATATGTCATTTTTTAAAAAAAAGAAATGACAATTGACTTTTAAAAGTAACATTAGCAATTACACGATATTTTTTACTTCAAAAAAACTTTTCATATGATTTTCAAAAGACCTCAAATTTTAAGGGTATTTTTTTAAGTTGTCCTTAGAATTAAGAATCGATCAGTTTGGTCTGATTCCTGTTCTAGAATTCTGAATTGGTAAATGCCAAATGAAATAGAATTTTAATGTATTTTATTACGTCGTTAATAGAACCTTAATTATAAAAACGAACCAAAGTACCAAACAAATTCATCTATAAGATTCTTATTATTCTAGACTATTTGTTTCCGTCAAACATGAATTGTACCCACTATTAATTTCACACGTAGCCTTGTTTGATTTAGATCAAAATCAAAATTTTAGCATATTTTGATAAAAATTAATAGAACGTGTGGTTTAAAAGTTGCGAGTCCGAAATGTGTAGGTAAAATTGATAATTGATTTTGATTCAGATTTTAATTCAATTTTTTAGTTGAATCGCAGTGTATTAATTATTTGGCCCAATATTTGGTTAATTTAAACGCGCAAAATCGCTTTAGGATCATACGACTTTGGTTCCAAAAAACTCTCTTAACACTGTCAAGAACAATTGGGGAAAACTCTAAACCCTAGATAGCAGTAGACTTCTTTACTCGTTCTGATAAAAAAACCATCCCAAGAAACGATATTCAACACAACAATGGCGAATAGACGCTGTATTCAAAACCTAAATCGTTATCTCCAATTCCTTAAAACCGTAGCTCCGTACCCGAATCCCGAATCCCGTGCGCCTACCTCGAAATACACTCTCCACTCTGTCTTGACCCACAAATCACAACATCGCTTATTCAACAGTAATGATATTAACGGCCAGAGTGTATTTTTCCGGCACTTTTCTTCCAGTAATCGAAATGACGATACTGATAAAGAAGGAGAAGGAGATGATGACGACGACGACTATGACGATGAAAGTGAAGGAGATGACATAGAGAGTGCGGATGATGAGAGGGAAAATGACAGAGCTGTATTGTCTGGCGAGGATAAAGAAAAAGAATCAGCTGAAATCGGGTATAAAGTCATCAGCCCGCTTCAAAAGTCCGACCGGGTCTTCAAACCATACGAACCGGCTTTCGCTGTGGTTCAGGTTCATTGAATCATGGCACCCAGTTTTTCATTTCCGTTGTTTTCTTTAATCTTTTTTGAATACGGAACGAGGATTAAATTCAATTGAGTTTCCGGGAAGTGTGGTAGCTAAGAGCATGTTTTGCCTAGCTTAATTCTTAAAAAGGTTTAATTATAAGTGACTTTAAAAGAAAGTAGATTTTTTTTTTTGTTTTGAAGAAACAATCTAGTTATCGTGTTAGGACACAAAAAGTTATGAAAAGCAACTTCTATTTACCTTATTCTTAGCCAAACATGTTCTAAGTACAGCTGCTGGAGCATAATGTGTAAAATACCAATTATTTTCTGCCATACTGAAAAAGGGCTGTATGTTACTTTCCTTCAGCAAAATAATTCGGTTCTGTAATGATCACAACTTTGTACACGTGTATAACATTTTTTGCTCAAATGATTTTTGTACTGCTGCTGTTGTGGATTGCTTAGATTGGGTCGCATCAGTTTAAGGTGAGCAATGGGGATTGCATATACGCAGAGAAGTTGAAGTACTGCGACGTCAATGATAAGGTTATTAAATTGACAATTAGTTTGCATCGATTCTCTTTTATAGGTCCTATCATTTATCAGAAGTGTGGAAAAAATTATCTCTTTTATAGCCTTTTTTGTTACTTTATATAGAGGGTTGAATCTTGAGATATTCATTTAATCTCATCACAGATTCACAGGGTAGCTGAAAATAAAATTATGGTTTGCTTATCTGTAGATATGTAATGGAAAGTTATGATAGCTTGAACTTTTCTGGGAGTACTTTGCATTTATC